TGGACCTGTAGCTCCAGCTCCCCTCTACAGGCAGCAGGTTGGTGCTGGACCTGTATATCTAGCCCTCCTCTACTGGCAGGGGGTTGGTGCTGGACCTATAGCTCAAGCTCCCCCTCTACTCGCTGGGGGTTGGTGCTTGACCTGTAGCTCCAGCCCTCCTCTACTGGCAGGGGGTTGGTGCTGGACCTGTAGCTCCAGCCCTCCTCTACTGGCAGGGGGTTGGTGCTGGACCTGTAGCTCCAGCCCTCCTCTACTAGCAGGGGGTTGGTGCTGGACCTGTAGCTCCCGCCCCCTCTACTGGCAGGGGGTTGGTGCTGGACCTGTAGCTCCAGCCCTCCTCTACTGGAAGGGGGTTGGTGCTGGACCTGTAGCTCCAGCCTTCCTCTACTGGCAGGGGGTTGGTGCTGGACCTGTAGCTCTAGCCCCCTTCTACTGGCAGGAGGTTGGTGCTGTAGCTTTAGCTCCAGCCCTCCTCTACTCCTTTAGCTCCAGCCCTCCTCCTCCACCCCCCCCCCTGAGGGGGGGGGGGGTGGTCCTGCACCTGTAGCTCAAGCACTCCTCTACTGGCAGGGGGTTGACCCTGGATCTATAGCTCCAGCCCCCTCTAGTGGCAGGGGGTTGTTGCTGAACCTATCGCTCAAGCCCCTTCTCTACTGGCAGGGGGTTGAAGCTGGACCTGTAGCTCCAGCCCTCCTCTCCTGGCACCGGGTTGATGCTCGACCTGTAGATCCAGCCCCCTTTACTGGCAGGGGGGTGGTCATGGACCTGTAGCTCTAGCCCCCCCCCCCCTCTTCTGGCAAGGGGTTGGTGCTGGACCTGTAGCTCTAGCCTCCCCCCTCTACTGGCAGGGGGTTGGTGCTGGACCTGTAGCTCCAGCCCCCCCCCCTCTACTGGCAGGGGGTTGGTGCTGAACCTGTAGCTCCAGCCCCTTCTCTACTGGCAGGGGGTCGGTGCTAGACCTGTACCTCAAGCCCCCCTCTACTGGCAGGGGGTTGGTCCTGGACCTGTTGCTCCGGCCCCCATCTACTGGCAGAAGGTTGGTGCTGGACCTGTAACTCCAGCCCCCTCTCTACTGGCAGAGGGTTGATGCTGGACCTGTAGCTCTGGCCCCCCTGTACTATCAGGGGATTGATGATGGACCTGTAGCTCCAGCCCCTTCTACTGGCATGGGGTTGGTCCTGGACCTGTAGCTCCAGCCCCCCCCCCCCGTCTACCGGCAGGGGGTTGGTGCTGGACCTGTAGCTCCAGCCTTCCCCCTCTACTGGCAGGGGGTTGTTGCTGAACCTATAGCTCAAGCCCCTTCTCTACTGGCAGGGGGTTGGTGCTTGACCTGTAGCTTCAGCCCCATTTACTGGCAGGGGGGGGGGGTGTGTAACACTGTAAAGTGTTTGGTTTAGTTTATTTAGAATATATATAGTATATGAGTCAGAGACAAGAATTTGAGAAGGCGCCAGTTTGTCCACCTGAAAGTCACACCTCTAAGAGTTAATGACCCCAAGTGACCTGAGGTCAGATCATGCGAATTTCACCTTACTTCTACTAATCTTATAATTGGAGCCTGGTAGCCTTCAAACATGCCGACGTTTAAGGAGTGGCTTGGTAGAGTGCCTCAGGCTATCTACTTGTGGGCGGAGTTAGTTACTAGGTTCCCCCAATATATACTCGGAGAGCGATCGATTCGGGAGCATTTAGCATTAACAAGACAGAAGACCAGGCAGCAGAGCAGGAGGACAACAGCCGAGACAGGCTGTCTGTCGGACGGGGGTGAAGCTGCCTGACAGCTGCAGACTCCCCCCCCCCCTTCTCTTTCCAGCTATAGGCAGACACTTGGTGAGTTGAACATTAAGGTGACTTGGTCGTGTTTTATAAGTGTTGTGTGATGATCAGGGGCAGTCAGTTGTAGTGTTCTCAGATTCTTGGAGGATGACTCACTTTACATATATAGATCTTGAACATTGCTTAAATTATGATAGTATGTGAAATATAATTGAATTTATTATTTAAATGGACTTTATTTTGTTCCCTAGAGATTTTGAGTTGAGGTGAGAAAGCCTCTGTGATTACGGGTTTCATGGTTTAGAATGAGTACATGATAGAGATGGGACATACTAATAATGACCTCTTGATAACATCTTTTGTGAATATTGTGATACAGACAAGTTCCATTCCTTGTCTTGTATGTAATGGTCTAGAATGGATGGTGGCAGCATTTCGCCTTCTACTATCTACTCTTCTACTTCTACTATCTACTCTTCTACTTCTACCTATCTTCACCTCTCCCTCCACCCCTCTCTAAACTCTCCCTTTCAACTAATGACCCTCCTCGCTCCTCCCACCTCTCTCCTCTCTCACCCCAAACACTCACTAATTACTTCACTATTCATTTCTTTCCTTTCGTTTTCTCTTGTACGTTTGTGGCAGTGAAATATATTCTAGAGTTCTCTCTAGAGTTTCGGGTAGCTGATCAAGTGACGGCGCCTTGTAGTCTTAGCACCTAGGTAGTCAAATACCTAGGTTACAAGGTGTTGAACGAGAGAGGTGGCCTTAGGAACTCTGGGAGTGCTCTAGAATAGTTAGCTAACTGAGGACGGGATAACGGACTAGAGAGAGCTGTTTCCCCCGGCCTCGTTAGTTAACTGGGGGTGGAATAATGGACAAGATAGAGCTATTTCCCCCACCCCCCGTTACAGGTGGTCATGGACCTGTAACTCCAGCCCCCCTGTTCTACCAGGGGATTGATGATGGACCTGTAGCTCCAGCCCCCCCCCCCTCTTCTGGCAGGGGGTTGGTGCTGAACCTGCAGTTCCTTCCCACTCTACTGGCAGGGATTTGGTGCTTCACCTGTAGCTCCAGCCTCCTCTACTGGCAGGGAGTTGGTGCTGGACCTGTAGCTTTACCCCCCTCTACTGGCAGGGGGTTAGTGCTGGACCTGTAGCTCTAGCTACCCTCCACTGGCAGGGGGTTGGCCCTGAATCTGTAGCTCCAGCCCCCCTCTACTGGCAGGGGGTTGGTCCTGGACCTGTAGCTCCAGCCTCCCCCCTCTACTGGCAGGGGATTGGTGCTGGACCTGTAGCTCCAGCCCCCTCTACTGGCAGGGGGTTGGTGCTGAACCTGTAGCTTCAGCTCCCTTCTACTGGCAGGGGGTTGACCCTGGATCTGTAGCGCCAGCCCCCCCTCTACTGGCAGGGGGTTGGTCCTGGAAATGAAGACTCCAGCCCCCCTCTACCGGCAGAGGGTTGATGCTGGACCTGTAGCTCCAGCCCCCTCTACTGGCAGGGGGTTGGTGCTGGACCTGTAGCTCCAGCCCCCTCTACTGGCAGGGGGTTGGTCCTGGACATATAGCTCCAGCCCCCTTCTACTGGCAGGGGGTTGGTGCTGGACCTGTAACTCCAGCCCCCTCTACTGGCAGGGGGTTGGCACTTGACCTGTAGCTCCAGCCCCCCTCTACTGGCAGGAGGTTGGTGCTGGACCTGTAGCTCTAGCTCCCCTCTACTGGCAGGGGGTTGGCCCTGAATCTGTAGCTCCAGCCCCTCTACTGGCAAGGGGTTGGTGCTGGACCTGTAGCTCCAGGCTACCTCTAATGGCAGGGGGTTGATGCTGGACCTGTAGCTCCAGCCCCCCCTCTACTGGCAGGAGGTTGGTACTGGACCTGTAGATCCAGCCCCCCTCTACTAGCAGGGGATTGGCCCTGAATCTGTAGCTCCAGCCCCCTCTCCTGGCAGGGGATTCCTGCTGGACCTGTAGCTCCAGCCCCCTCTACTGGCAGGGGGCGGTTGGTCCTGGACCAGTAGCTCCAGCCCCCCTCTACTGGCAGGGAGTTGGAGTTGTACCTGTAGCTCCAGCCCCCCTCTACTGGCAGGGGGTTGGTGCTGGATGTGTAGCTCCAGCACCCCCTCTACTGGCAGGGGGTTGGTGCTGGACCTGTAGCTCCAGCCCCCCTTTCCTGGCAGTGGGTTGGTGCTGGACCTGTAGCTCTAGCCCCCCTCTACTGGGAAGGGGGTTGGTGCTGGACCTGTAGCTCCAGCCCTGTCTACTGGCAGGGGGTTGGTGCTGGACCTGTAGCTCCAGCCCCGTCTACTGGCAGGGGGTTGGTGCTTTACCTATAGCTCCTGCCCCCCCCTCTACTGGCAGGGGGTTCGTGCTGGACCTGTAGCTCCAGCCCTCCTTCTACTGGCAGGGGTTTGGTGCTGGACCTGTAGCTCCAGCCCCCCGTCTACTGGCAGGGGGTTGGTGCTGGACCTATAGCTCCTGCCCCCCTCTTCTACTGGCAGTGTGTTGGTGCTGGACCTGTAGTTCCAGCCCCCCCCCTCTACTGGCAGGGGGTTGGTGCTGGACCTGTAGTTCCAGCCCCCCCCCCCCCCCATCCCTCTACTGGCATGGGGTTGGTGTTGGCATTGTTGTGGAGTCCGTTGGCAATTTTAAGGCTTCAGTTTCTTCGTACCCAGCAGTGGTCTGATTTGGTTCGCTGTCTTACTGGATTCAACGTCCTCCCAGCGAGCATAAGAAATATTGCCGGAACAACCATACACATTTTCAAGTGGAAACTAGATTGTTTCCCCTAAGGAGTGCTAGATCAACTGGGCTGTGGTGGATATGTGGGCCTGCGGGCCGCTCCAAGCAACAACCTAGTGGACCAAACTCTCTCAATTCAAGCCTGGCTTCGGGCCGGGCTTGGGGAGTAGAACAACTCCCAGAACCCCATCAACCAGGTATACTTTCTTGGAAAGGTTGGTGGAGTGTCACCCGCTCTCTGTGAGGGGGCCAGGATCGCGGGTTCAATCACCATGCAGGCCAGAAATGGTTAACATGTTTCCTGTTGCCTCTGTTCACCAACCAGTAAATATTTATCCAGGAGTTAGGCAACTATTGTGGATTGTATGTTAAGGAAAGTCAGTAGTTGACCTTGGGGAACCTCGATAAACCTAAGAACAGGCTTCCTCTCCTCAAAACGCAACTCAATAACTTGTGGTATGACCTATGAGAGAAAATAACAAACTTACTGTTAATTGCTTCTGGGGGATCTCTAAAGTGATTTCCAGAACTTTATCCATGATGCTGGAGGCTGAGTCTCCCAGGTGTACGGGGTCAGCTGTGGCACCTGTCTCTGTGGTCATCATCTCCAGGGCCTCCCTGATGGTCTCCTGCACCTGTCATTACCAACACAAACATTAATGGTGGAGGCTGAGTCTCCCAGGTGTACGGGGTTAGTTGTGGCACCTGTCTCTGTGGTCATCATCTCCAGGGCCTCCCTGATGGTCTCCTGCACCTGTCATTACCAACACAAACATTAATGGTGGAACCTGGACTATAATGAAGCATCAGGCTCTGAGTAAAGTAACTGGACTATAATGAAGCATCAGGCTCTGAGTAAAGTAACTGGACTATAATGAAGCATCAGGCTCTGAGTAAAGTAACTGGACTATAATGAAGCATCAGGCTCTGAGTAAAGTAACTGGACTATAATGAAGCATCTGGCTCTGAGTAAAGTAACTGGACTATAATGAAGCATCAGGCTCTGAGTAAAGTAACTGGACTATAATGAAGCATCTGGCTCTGAGTAAAGTAACTGGACTATAATGAAGCATCTGGCACTGAGTAAAGTAACTGGACTATAATGAAGCATCTGGCTCTGAGTAAAGTAACTGGACTATAATGAAGCATCAGGCTCTGAGTAAAGTAACTGGACTATAATGAAGCATCAGGCTCTGAGTAAAGTAACTGGACTATAATGAAGCATCAGGCTCTGGGTAAAGTAACTGGACTATAATGAAGCATCTGGCTCTGAGTAAAGTAACTGGACTAATTGAAGCATCAGGCTCTGAGTAAAATAATTTCACAATATAAGTAATGGTGTTTCTCTACACTGACCACAGTGTAGAGAAACACCAAGATGACAGTTGACTTTATTAATAAAAATGTTTCCTATCTATAAAGTCAACTCTCATCTTGATGTGTCTCCATGTCAAAAGTGTTTATATAGAGGCCATACTACACTCAGTTGGGTGAGAACAATGTGACCTTCGGTAGTGTACCTTCACCGAGGTGTGGACAGTGTTGACATCTGGGAAGAGTTCCTGGCACTTCCGGAGCCAATCTTCTACCTTCATCTTGCACTCATCAGCTGTGTCTATGGTTGTGCCAACCTCCTGTGGGGTGTTGACTGTGTCGAGGCTCCCCAACATGGCCTGCAGCTGAGTCTTCCCTTCCTCTCCTTGTGTTGTCATATCCACCACACTGGTATCCTCCAGTTCCAAGAGCTTCATTGCTGACTTGTTCTGCTCTACCAGAGCATAGAGTCTGTCCTGGAGCTGGAGGTGGTGAGTCTTCCAGTCCCCCAGCTGCCCCCAGTACTCCCCCAGCTGGGACAGTACCTCTTCACAGCTAGTAATGAGGCTGCTGATGATGCTCTTCTGCTCCTGCACCAGGGAACGTAATGTCTTACTGATGCCTCTGGCGGGACCTTCATAAGGTTTTGCTGGCACTACTTCCTCAGTTGTTAGCTGGATATTTTTGAGTTTCCTAACAAAAGCCTCCACAGCATAGCAAATTGGGAACTGAGTAGCAGCTGTGGCAGTGTGCTCGGCACAGCAGCTGGGGCAGGTCAGCTGACCATTCTTGATAGCATTGTCAATACACTGGGAGCAGAATGTGTGGCCACATGGCAGTGTGCGAGGTCGTAGCTGATTGTCATCATAATCGTTAAAACACACTGAACATTCCTCTGGCTTGTTATCCTGTGGAAAAGAATATTTAGTTTGCTAGATGTATTTACATTTAAAACTAATATTACAGTACTTTATTTACTAATACAAATTACATAATATTTTTATACATTCTTTGCATTAGCTATTTCAAAGCAGGGTTAATATTACTGACAGATTAACACATTCACAGCAAGGCCAATATTTTTTATAAACATATCTCGGAGTATGGGATAATATATTTAGGTAACATATTGGAGCAGCAGGGCTGTTTGTAAGCCATACCTAAGAGTGCAGACTAACAAAACCCATCCTTACTTTATTATGAATAATGGAAGGAAATGTATGTATCGTATGTGATAATGGGGGAAGGATCAAGTATTCTTAGTCTAAGTTGGACAATAAATACACTGTGGGTTACATCTTAACACATGGGTTTTATTGAACTACTCTGGGTTATTTTACACTTACTAGGGGAACACACAATTACATTACAGGATTGTTGAGATTGTGTGATACTCTTCCCCAAACATAACCATGATGGATAAATTGACTATTGGTCTCATACAAATCTGGGCTTAGTTGATTTGGTGGTGATAAGACCACCAAATCTTATCTATTTAATTTATAAACTAAGTACAGTATATATATATATACTGTACTATATTATTTATTTCTCTGTATTATTATATATATATATATTATTATATATATTATATTATATTATATATATTATTTATTTCTCTGTGGATTTTCCGCATAAAATGATCAGTGTTTTGTGATCGTCAATTGCATATATATATATATATATATATATATATATATATATATATATATATATATATATATATATATATAATATATATATATATATATATATATATATATATATATATATATATATATATATATATATATATATATATATATATATATATATATACAACTTTAGAACACTTTCCCACCAGGAGACTCGAACCCTAGCCAGCACAGAAGCCTTCCAGCAACTGGCATAACAGGTACGCCTTAACCCGCTCCACCACCAGCTCAGACCCTTAAAGAGATGGTAATTTCGGAGTATTTAAATACACCAAAGATCACCACCTCTCAAGAGCACTAGAGCAAGTGAGGGGTCATTTAGACGTTAATTTCATCAAGTCCCTGTTAATATGGGAAGACACAGTGTCTATGCTTAAGGCACAACTCTCCTAAACACGAGAGTGAAGTGTACAACTTTAGAACACTTTCCCACCAGGAGACTCGAACCCTAGCCAGCACAGAAACCTTCCAGCAACTGGCATAACAGGTACGCCTTAACCCGCTCCACCACCAGCTCAGACCCTTAAAAGAGATGGTAATTTCGGAGTATTTAAATACACCAAAGATCACCACCTCCCAAGAGCACTAGAGCAAGTGAGGGGTCATTTAGACGTTAATTTCATTAAGTCCCTGTTAATATGGTGGTGGAGCGGGTTAAGGCGTACCTGTTATGCCAGTTGCTGGAAGGCTTCTGTGCTGGCTAGGGTTCGAGTCTCCTGGTGGGAAAGTGTTCTAAAGTTGTACACTTCACTCTTAAGGCGTACCTGTTATGCCAGTTGCTGGAAGGCTTCTGTGCTGGCTAGGGTTCGAGTCTCCTGGTGGGAAAGTGTTCTAAAGTTGTACACTTCACTCTCGTGTTTAGCAGAGTTGTGCCTTAAGCATAGACACTGTGTCTTCCCATATTAACAGGGACTTGATGAAATTAACGTCTAAATGACCCCTCACTTGCTCTAGTGCTCTTGAGAGGTGGTGATCTTTGGTGTATTTAAATACTCCGAAATTACCATCTCTTTTAAGGGTCTGAGCTGGTGGTGGAGCGGGTTAAGGCGTACCTGTTATGCCAGTTGCTGGAAGGCTTCTGTGCTGGCTAGGGTTCGAGTCTCCTGGTGGGAAAGTGTTCTAAAGTTGTACACTTCACTCTCGTGTTTAGGAGAGTTGTGCCTTAAGCATAGACACTGTGTCTTCCCATATTAACAGGGACTTGATGAAATTAACGTCTAAATGACCCCTCACTTGCTCTAGTGCTCTTGGTAGGTGGTGATCTTTGGTGTATTTAAATACTCCGAAATTACCATCTCTTTTAAGGGTCTGAGCTGGTGGTGGAGCGGGTTAAGGCGTACCTGTTATGCCAGTTGCTGGAAGGCTTCTGTGCTGGCTAGGGTTCGAGTCTCCTGGTGGGAAAGTGTTCTAAAGTTGTACACTTCACTCTCGTGTTTAGGAGAGTTGTGCCTTAAGCATAGACACTGTGTCTTCCCATATTAACAGGGACTTGATGAAATTAACGTCTAAATGACCCCTCACTTGCTCTAGTGCTCTTGAGAGGTGGTGATCTTTGGTGTATTTAAATACTCCGAAATTACCATCTCTTTTAAGGGTCTGAGCTGGTGGTGGAGCGGGTTAAGGCGTACCTGTTATGCCAGTTGCTGGAAGGCTTCTGTGCTGGCTAGGGTTCGAGTCTCCTGGTGGGAAAGTGTTCTAAAGTTGTACACTTCACTCTCGTGTTTAGGAGAGTTGTGCCTTAAGCATAGACACTGTGTCTTCCCATATTAACAGGGACTTGATGAAATTAACGTCTAAATGACCCCTCACTTGCTCTAGTGCTCTTGAGAGGTGGTGATCTTTGGTGTATTTAAATACTCCGAAATTACCATCTCTTTTAAGGGTCTGAGCTGGTGGTGGAGCGGGTTAAGGCGTACCTGTTATGCCAGTTGCTGGAAGGCTTCTGTGCTGGCTAGGGTTCGAGTCTCCTGGTGGGAAAGTGTTCTAAAGTTGTACACTTCACTCTCGTGTTTAGGAGAGTTGTGCCTTAAGCATAGACACTGTGTCTTCCCATATTAACAGGGACTTGATGAAATTAACGTCTAAATGACCCCTCACTTGCTCTAGTGCTCTTGGTAGGTGGTGATCTTTGGTGTATTTAAATACTCCGAAATTACCATCTCTTTTAAGGGTCTGAGCTGGTGGTGGAGCGGGTTAAGGCGTACCTGTTATGCCAGTTGCTGGAAGGCTTCTGTGCTGGCTAGGGTTCGAGTCTCCTGGTGGGAAAGTGTTCTAAAGTTGTACACTTCACTCTCGTGTTTAGGAGAGTTGTGCCTTAAGCATAGACACTGTGTCTTCCCATATTAACAGGGACTTGATGAAATTAACGTCTAAATGACCCCTCACTTGCTCTAGTGCTCTTGAGAGGTGGTGATCTTTGGTGTATTTAAATACTCCGAAATTACCATCTCTTTTAAGGGTCTGAGCTGGTGGTGGAGCGGGTTAAGGCGTACCTGTTATGCCAGTTGCTGGAAGGCTTCTGTGCTGGCTAGGGTTCGAGTCTCCTGGTGGGAAAGTGTTCTAAAGTTGTACACTTCACTCTCGTGTTTAGGAGAGTTGTGCCATATATATATATATATATATATATATATATATATATATATATATATATATATATATATATATATATATATATATATATATATATATATGTATATATATATATATATATATATATATATATATATATATATATATATATATATATATATATATATATATTTATATATTCCTTGCCCAAGATTACTATCCGAGTGCCGGCGGTGGGGTGGTTCAAATAGCCTCGGCTATCACCTCATTATGTCCGATCGTGATGGTCAAGTGGATTAAGGCGTCTTGTACATACCAGTTACGTTGCTCCTGGGAGTATGGGTTCGAGTCACTTCTGGGGTGTGAGTTTTCAGTTGCATATTGTCCTGGGGACCATTCAGGCTTGTTCGCATATATTTATATATTATATATATATATATATATATATATATATATATATATATATATATATATATATATATATATATATATATATACACACAATGGGGCCTCGACTTCCGATGCTAATCCGTTCCCAGAGACGGATCGTAAGTCGAAGCGATTTTTCCCATAAGAAATAAAGGTAATTGAATTAATCCGTTCCCCACCCTCCAAAATATTAACATACAAATACATACTGAATATACATACATTTTATACTGAATACAATTTTTTTCTAACTACAATACAGTACCAAAGTGTCTCTTACCTTTATGGAGGGCTCTTGATGGCGTATGGAAGATGGTGATGAGGGGGGGGAGGAGGAGAGTTGTACCTGTTTGGAAGGGGAGTCCCCTTCCATTATCACATCAGGCAGTGATGTTTTCTCTGGGGTACTCTCTCTCCTACGTTTTGCCTGAATACCACTAGAACCTGGTTATGATTCAGTGCTTGTTTGTCTCACTACAAATTTGTCAAGAGGCATTTGTTGTTCCCTTAATTTTAACATTTGTCTGTAATGATGCATCAGTGTCATTGAATAGGTTAAGGCAACGACCTACTGCAGCTTGATTTGGGCGAGTCGTTTCAGCAAAGGTTTGCAATTCTTCCCATGCTGCACACATTTTCTTAATTGTTGAGGAAGAGACATTCTGTACTCTTGTATCTGCTATATGCTCATCCTTACATGGGTTTTCATATGTTGAGCCTTACCACTGACTTTCCTGGGACTCATGGCAAGGTATATAATAATTACTTTAATGTTCAAAATGCAAAAAATCACCACAAAAGCGGAATTTCTTAAAGGCACAATCGTCACTAAGCGAGCAGCTGTAGTAAACTGAGGCAGGTCGGCCCCGTGACTGGGAACCACTCGCTCTGTCGACCCGAACGTGTACCAACAAATATCGTAAGTCAACAACACCATTGGATGTCGAGTCGCATTTTTCGATGAAATTCACATCGTAACTCGAAATTATCGCAAGTAGGGGCAATCGTATGTCGAGGTGTCACTGTATATTTTATATATATATATATATATATATATATATATATATATATATATATATATATATATATATATATATATATATATAGATAGCGGGCAGAGTGTATCGTGATCTTGCCTGTACTCCTCTTGACATACCAGAAAACATTCTAAGGAAACTACTCCAAGCTTGTACTAAAGAGGCATCCTTCTTAAGCCT